TTGTAAAGTTGAATTGATAAAATTATAATTATATGGTTGGAAATGTCGTTCGCCTTTTTTACCCTTTAAAAATTATAATTGTAACTATATTAAAAGCACGAAGGTCCTTTGTGAAATGTCGTTTGCCTTTTTTACTCTTTAAAAATATATTATACTAGGATAATATTGTAATTTAACTATTCTCCTAATATTTAAAATTTTTAAATTAACTAAAATTTTGGTTATAATATTTTTTCATATTTGAACTATACAAAAACTACTTATATTTAAAATTTCAAAATTTATTATAAATACACCACTTCGACTCTTCTAGATCTTTTTACCTAACTAATAATCGTGCTCTAAAATTTACAAAAAAACTAATATTTAAGAATTTGGATTCAACTATAATTCCTTTAAAATGGTAAGAAGGAAATTGTCCCAACTTTTGCCGTGAGATATTTTTTCCTAAAACTTTGCTGCTCAACAAACAAAAAAAGAAAAAAGGAAATCTTTCAACAATTTCACCTTCCTTTTTGACAACCAAACGGCACCAAAGGATTCTCTAACAAAATTTTATTGTTAATTTAATTCCTTTGAAATATGTTCATTAAGCTTAGGTTTTTTTTTTTTGCCAAAATATCAGAATTATTTTTTAGAAAAACAAAGTATCCTAAAAATAAATAAAAAAGGAAACTATATTTCCAAAAGGAACAAAATTGCCGTCAAATAATAATTTGTTATACTTAAAAAAATATGGAGCTTCTTTTTTGTGGTTATTGATTATTAGGAGGGAAACATGAATTCTCTTTTTGAAATACGTGAATTAACAAAAACAAAAGAATTCCCTCCATATTATTTCCCTCTAAATATTTTGTGCCTAAATTAAAGCCTCCTAATTCTATTAGAGAGTAATATGCTGTTTCTTTTTTATAGAAAGATTAGAGTGCAAAAAAACCTTAAAAAAAAAGCACAAAAGAAAGCCAAAAAGTGAGGTGTAGATTTTTTATTACTTGTCTGAATCAACTTGTCATCACTAAAAGCAAATGTTCTAATTTCTTTCTATATCTCTGTTTCAATTTATGCATTATACATTTAAATTTTTGTTATTTTGTTTAATTCTGCAGACTTAGGCAAATTTTCTTGTTCTTAGATTATCGGCACATATCCCTTTTTTTACTTTTTGGTTCAACTTTGTTAAGAAATGGAATCCTAGTGATTTCTTTTTGTGCTATCTTAAATATATGAAATTTACTTCTTCTTCTTTGTTACTTTTGAAATTTTGGGGCTGTAAGTGTGTGTTGATTGGTCTATATTTGTTTCCTTTCATGTCTGTTTGATTTTTTATTTTAAAGCACTATGAAGAATTTGTTCGAAAATTCTGAATTCTTAAAGTTCACTGTTAGATACCGTGTATTAATTAAAAAGATGTGGTTATACAATGAGTACAATATTTCTGAAAGTTCAAATGATATATAAACTCTGTTACTATAGTATTTATCATGTTATAAGTATACAGTTTGAGGTTTTATTTAATTCTTAAAGTTGGCTACTAAGTACTTACAGAAAATATCATTTATATTTGTATTTATGATAATTTATTTTAGTGTCTTACAAATTCTTATTTGTAACCAGACATGGGTAAAATGATTTTTGGAAAAAAACTAATCGCTTGACTGATAATCGTGACTCGGAAACTGTTAAGAGTTCTAAGAAGTCGTCTATTGACGAAAACTTGCTCACGCAATCTGTAGAAGAACTTGTTTATCCGGGTAATTGTAATATGATTATTGTGCAATATTGAATTTGTCATTAAATCTTTTTTCTCATTATATAAATTTGTGTCTTTGTTTATTCATATTTAGCTAATTCATCTTCAATAATTTTCTCGGAAGCGGACATGATAGGGGAGAAAGAAATTAGCTATCACTATGGTGGCCATTTTGTATTCTCCCTTTCTAGAAAATATGTAGATGGTCATTTGAAGAAAACAAATATTGATGTTGATTTTATATCTTTCTTTGACCTATTGGATGACTTAAAAGAGTATTGTAACTTCAATATTTGTGAGGGAGACAAGTTCTTTTATTTGAGAGGTGATAGAATTATTAGTGATTATGATGGGCTAGTTGAATGTCATGACGATCAAAATATTAAAAACATGCTTGTTAGTTATAGAATGCATAAAGAAAGACCTATTGAGATTTATACATTGCTGAAAAATGATATTTTTATGAGTACTTCTCTTGGAGAAAATAGTTCTAGGGGTAATGAGTCTGAAGAGGTGACATAATCAGTTGTAGGAGCACACGAATCAGCAAATTCAGTAGGTAATCACTATTTTTATTGATCTTAATTACTTCTATCGATATTTTTACTTGACGTTATTTATTTAACCTTCGTAGGTTCCAACGCTGTGAAAAGAAAAACTAGAGGTCCTACATGGTGTGTGAAAATAATTAACTTACAGGAGGAACAAAAATTACCCGTGGAATTTGATGAAGATCATCAAGCTATCGGTGAGAATGCAAGCAAATTAATTTGGTTTTTGGGACAAACAGTTAGAAGTCGAACTTGTTTCTCTTTAAAGGTAAATGGTTGGAAAGAGATTGAGCCAGATAAGATCGACCATATGTGGGAAATTGTCTTGGTAAGAAAAACTAATAAACTAATAATTTATAATATTTTATAATTTCTTATGGTTTAACAATTACTAGAATATATGATTATAAACTTTGATTGTATTTTTTTTATATAGGAAAAGTTTAATTTTGATGTGTCAGAGGGAAGAAAAAGCGCAATTCTTATTAAAATGAGTGACCTCTACAGAGACTATAGGTACAAGTTGAAGAAGAAGTATTTTGATTCAAAAGTAAATTACCAACTTCGCCTATGAAACAAGCCTAAACTTGTTGCCGCAGATGAATGGAAATATTTGGTCAATCTTTGGAGTGATGCCGACTTTCAGGTATTTAAATTGTAAATTAATTTGTTTCAGCCTTTTTATTATTATGTGTTTCATATTTTGAGGATCTCAAGTTTATTTAGGAAAATTAATTATGGGCGTGTTTGAGATAACTAAAACTGTTTTACTCTGAATTATTATTTTTGTGATCCATGATTTGGATTCCAAATAAAATTAAGCTCTCTTTTTATCACTAACATTTCCTTATATAAGAGCACGATACTTTTATTGTCTTTGTATTTCATATTCGATTTGCTAGTTTTTATGAGTAAATCCAAGGGCATAGTAAGCTCTCTTTTATCACTGGCTTTTCTATAGAAACTAATGTTCTTAATTTTTTTTTTCAATTTTTATTTAGGAGAAGAGCACACAATACAAAACAAATAGATCGAAACGTTCCTTGCCTCCATACATTGGGACCAAAAGTTATGCAAGACTTAGATACGAAATGGTATGAACGTTGTAATAATATTTTTAGAACAAATTTAGAAGAACTATATTCACATATTTTATTCATTTGATGATTATGATTATTTTTCCGCAGGAGCAAAAAAATAGAAAAGCTCCTTCTCGTGTTGAAGTTTTTATGGAATCCCGCAAGAGAAAAAAAGGAAAACAAGTTGATGCTTTTCAACAAGATGTTATTGTAATGTCAATGTGTTCTCTTTTCTTTTTATCTCCTTTTATATTACACATTTGTACTTATATTTGATTGATTTGCATTTTTTGATTGTAGGACCAATTTTACCAATTTAAAAAGCAGCAAAAGAAGGAGAAATTTCTTTAAATGATGATGATATCTTCGAAAAAGTACTCGGGGCCGAAAAAAATCGATATCTTCGTGCGTATGGCCCAAGAAAAAATATCAGTGAATATTTTGGTGGTAGACCAACAAAAGTACAACTTATAAAGCAACTAAAATTGACCAGAAAAGAGACAAATGAGCGTGTGGAAGAAGTTAAAAGGGAAGCTAAGGAACAAGTTGAAGAAATCAAGAAAGATATGAATAATCAACTAGCATGGATGAATAAATAATGGGAAGAAAAATTTCGAATGATACTTGCAGCACAAGGTATTCAACAAAAAGATATATATCTAACGGTAAGTAACTTATTAGACTTTTATTACTATCTTTTTATATTAGTAATTTAGAATATATGTGATTTCTTTTAGGTAATATTCATATTAAAAATAAAATTTAATTTTTTATATAAAAAATACTTCATTGTATCATTTAGTTTTATGCTTTTTTTTTTCTATTGTTATTGCAGCCTCTGGAGGAATTATAAAAGCATCAAGGCCGACGGGCACATGAATAATGTTTTTCCTCTTGTCAAAGCTTATTGATATGTTTCAAACGATGTTTTAATATTTGGAATGATATTGTTGAACCTTTGTTAAATTTTGTTTATTAATATATTGTGTTTATTACGTAATTGAAGATCTTATGCTACAGTTGCCTATGTGTTTCACTGTCAAAATTTGATTGTATTTCTAAATAGGCTTTATATGAATTATTGTGACTAATAATGCTTGTGACAATTTTTTAATTAGTAGTAATGAATTTTTAAATTTGTAGCTAAACATATATATTGCAACATAATAAAAACGTAGCTATATATATTTTTTATTTTCATTGCAAAAATGAAGAAAAATTATTGCTATGATTTTATGCTTCATGGCAAAAGAGAATGAAATATTAGCTATGGGTTTTTCAATTTGTAGCTAAACATATACTCCTACAATAGCCACGTATCAAGAACATGGCTATTCATTTTCACTTTTCGTAGCAAATGATGAAAATCATTCGCTATAGTTTTATATATTTCATGGTTAAAAGTATGGAATATTAGCTACAATATGAAAAGGTTTATGGCAAATACTTCAATTCATAGCTACGGAGTTTTTACATTGTAGCTAAACATGAGTACTATTGCCACGAGACTAAGCTCTCGAAATAGCCACAAAATTTGAGTTTGCATAGCAAATAAATTAAATCTTTTGCTACAACACAACAATTCGTGGCTACAATATGAAGATAACTACAAATTTGTTCATCGTGGCAAAAGAATAAAATCACTTGCTATAAGTATATTTTTTGTAGCAAAAACCTTTTACCATCATCGCTACAACATAAAAATTTCCGTAGCAATAAGTATTAGTCCTTAGCCACGGATCATATAAAGTCTGTAGCTGAGTTTTAGCTACGCTACATTTTGCTACAAATGCTACAGAAAACAATATTGTGGCTAAAGTGTTTTGCCATGAAAATTTTCATATTTAGCTACAATGCTTTTCATAGCTATAAATGTGTAATGTTGTAGTGGATGTATTTACCTCGCATTCCTTCTCTCCATCAAAGACTTGGTTATTATTGAAGTCAGGGTCCTATCACAAAATAATAAATAAAAAAGTTTGAAATTATGATTCAAATTATGCAATTTATTAGAAATTAGCTTTTGAAATATGTTATGAAGTTTGTAAGCAAATACGACATACAGTTAAGTCATTTGTAGGTGTATCAAGACTATATTTCTTTATCAGTTGCTCCTCATCCGTAAGCTTCACAACACTATAAATTTCCTTTTGCAGTTGAATGTTCTCGCTCTTCACAATAACCTTAAACATGAGTTTTCTTTGGAGAACATTGTTCAGCTCTTCCGGATACAGATACATATCAACACCTCCAGTATTCTAGAATGAAAATTTCCGTTAGAATTGTTAAAAAAAGAAATATGAATATAATTAGTTGATATACCTCAAGAAATCCTTCCTTCAATTCTTTTGCGGATTTGCCAATGAGAAACATAGCTTCGCGGTCCCAGAGCAATAGGGAAACAGATCCAGTAGTATCCATTACCCTAACCTGAAGCTTGTACCTAATTCCACAGGAAACATTTGAGATATAAATGTAACCAATTGATGGAATAAGGAAATAGAGTTGCTGCTTTTACCTAATAATTGCTGAGTAATCTTCATTTTTGCATTTGGGGTTTGGGCATTGATAAATGTTTCCCAATTTATCCACCTTTTTTTGACACTTCTTGCAACTGACATAACACCATCCTTTCTCAAGTTCTAAATTTTCTATACTTGCGACAATCCAACAGGGACCTTCCTGTTTAATAAAATGATTAAATTTTAAATCGTCACGTATATAGAGAGCGTATATATGCAAAAATAATAATATATAATTTGCATACTTTATATTTCAAAAATTATGGTAGTCAACCAATATGTCATCTGAGAGATGATAATATAAAGTATGAAATTCATATATTTTAATGGACTAAGTGCTGAAGAAAAGTGGAATATGTTGTATGTTAAAGGGAAGGGGGAGATTTCACAAAATGTGGGGCAGGGAAAGAGCAATCTATACTCTCCGTTTGTGTTTCCATTGA